GAAGCGACCTCCAACGGAGCAAAACCATGGCAACGTTGCGTTTTAGCTCGGGCACCAGCGCGTCGACCGCGCCGCCGTCGCCGGACCAGCTGCCAAGAGAGTGGGCGGGCCGCTCGAGCAGCGGCCAGGTTCACCGCGCCACCGACGCTGGACCGGGGGGCCAATCCTCAGCCGGCAACGACTTGCCACCAATCTTTTTCGGCTCGCCGCTGTCTGGGCGTGGCGCAAGTGGTGCTTCTTGACAGAATCACGAGAAGAGCCCCCCCCTGGGCACCGCGCAGCAGCAACGGCGCCTCACGGGCTGCGTGGGCGAGCTACTCGCTCGAGCAGCGGCCAGGTTCACCGCGCCGCCGACGCTGGGCTGGGGGGCCAACCCCCAGCCAGCAACGACCTGCCACCAAGCCTTCTCGGCTCACTGCTGCCCAGGGTGCACGAGTGGTGTTTCTGGTTGAAACGAGCCAGAAGAGCTTCCCCCCGGGCACCGCGCAGCAGCCGCAACAGCGCCTGCGGCCAGCGCCGCCTTGCAGCATGAAGCACGCGACAGCTGCTTCCCAGCTGGGCCCTGGGTGGCCCGGGGCCAGCGCCAACGTCGCAGTTGGCCCCGACCAGCTCGAGGCGCCATCCGCCCCGAGAACGCGGCCAGCGAGAGCCGAGGCGCTCGGCCCCGAGAGGGCCGACCAACCCGCACGACGCGGTAGGCGACGGGCGATTAGCTTTGTTGGTTCGGGCACGCGGCCCTTCCTGAATCCAGCGACGTCTGGCATGGCGCCCCGATGCCAGCCGGCGGCGCTCTGCAACGGAATCGGCAATTTTTCTTGGCGGCAGGACAGACGCCGCGTGCGAAGAGCGCCAGCGCTACGACGTCAGACCCCCGTCCAACCGACATCCGACACCCCGTGAAGCAGTCGGCGCCAACAGTCGCCCGCTAGCATCGACGGGCCTCCAGCGCGCCCGACCTCGCCGACCCGGCCGCCCAGCAAACCCGCCCGGCCAGCCCGGGCAGGGCAGGGCCAAGCAACTCTTCCGAGCAACGGACGCCGCCATCCCTCAATCACCGCCGCCGCCCACGGTGCCACCACTACCACCGCTCCACCAGGTTTGCCTCGACCCTGGACCAACGATTAATCGGGCGCCCCAGAGCACCTGGCACCCGCGACCATGGCCTCAACGAGGCAGCCGACTACCATGCTGCGTCACCAGCCACCGCGATAGCTACAGCCGAACAGGAAGTACCATCTTCACCGACGGCCCCCCACGCTCGAAGCAGCCAGACGACGACGCATGGTGGGTGGGAATTGTAGGCGGCGACAGCATCAGCGTCAGCTTTCCGGGCGCCGTTGTCGGCAGGCACAAGAAGGGCGCCGACGTAGCCCCAGAAGGCAGCGCGGACCCGGAGACTACTTCGACCGCGGTGGAGTTCATCGCGCTCATCTGGGCCTTCGCCTGGATATCCCACGGCAGCGCCGACGACGTCGCCGGAATTTTTGGGCGTATTCACTTGTGCGCTCCAACTTGCCCAGCGAGTTGCCCTTGCGGACCGCGGCCCTGGCCTCGCCAAGACCCTCTGCATATTCTACGACATGGTCAGTAATGAGATCGTCAACGCGTCCACGCCCGCGAGGCGAGCCCCAGGAACGAAGTCGCCGACGCGACCGCGAACCGCGCGCGCGCTGCAGCAGTGACCGACCCGCGACCAGGTTGGTCGAGCATCATGGACGGCGCGCATCAACGTGATTGGGAGTTCTGTCTCGGCGCGGATCAGAACGCCAAGGGGGCCTGCCCTTCCCCGAGCGGAGGCGGGCGCGCGGCCACCAAGGCGCCGACGGAGGCCGAAGCTCGCCTCTTCTAGGATCTAGCCGAAAGCAGCGAGAGAAAGACCGACGTCGAGATCAGCGCCGCGACCCACAACATTCAGTCAGGCCGAGGGCCCAAGGAAGGAGCCATGGGAGGACATGACAAATCAGCAATTTTTCCATCGCGAGCAGCCTCTTTGCCGAGGACGCCCACCTTATTGGCATCCAGGAAGCGAGGGCACCCGAGGGAGTTCGCGGATGTGAAGACGCAACATGTGCCAGCGCCAGTAGCTGCCGCGCCATCTCCATCGGCCAAAGGAGGCGCAACTACGGGCGCGGGCTCCGCGTGAAGCGTGGCAGGAATGGGGCTGGTTTTCAAGCCCGACCAGCTCGCCGTCGCTTAGGAGGGCCCGGGGCTTCTCCTCATTCGCGCAAGCGCCCCAGGCTTCTCGCGCGCGCTTGCTGTCGCGCACGAACCGCGCTCGAATGCCATCGAGACTGGGGAAGCAAGCTCGCGAAGGAGACCGAGCAGCGCCAGGTCAGCATCGTGCTCGTCGACTCCAACGCCAGGACTGGCGACGTCGCGGGCGCCGCGATCGGGAGTCAAGGTGCGCCGCTGAAGGGGGGGCCCCAGCGGGGGTCGCCTCCGCGAGCTGCTTCTGGCCAACCACCTCTCGGCGGCCGTCGCTTCCGTCGGGCGCGGCCCCGGGCGCCGCGCCGGGCGCTCAGGAAAAGGGCCGCGCCGCATCGACTGCGTTGCTCTGCCCAGCGGCTACGCGGACTCCATCGAGACGCGATCCGCCCTCCGCGGAGTCGACGACGGCTTCGACGCCTAGACCATGGGCGACCGCTGCCCCGTTCAGCTCGCGCTCGCCCACGAGATAGTCTCCGCCGTCGCGATGGGCATCCCGGAGCTGGGCGACGCGAAGCTCGATGAAGACGGCCGCGAGAAGTTTAGCCAGAAGCCACAGGATTTGCAACCCCCAAGGCGGGGCGCCATCGCGACCGACCACCTCGGCGCAGTTTCCGAGCAGTTCACGAAGGCGGCCCGCGAGTGCTCCCGCCCGAAAGACCAGGGGCACCTCAAGCCCTACATCACGATGCTCTCCGTTGCATGTCCACGGATTCGGCGAGTTCTGACCGAGGCGGTCAGGTCCACCAAGGAGAACGACCTCGCCACGGCGACCGGCGCGGATCGCTTTCGGTGCGCGGCGACACTATTCGCGCAATGTGCAATGCTACCAGAACAAGCCAACGCCGCACCTCTGGCGAACGTCCATGATTGCGCCGAGCTTGCCGCCACTTCCGTGTTGTTCAGTCTCTCAGCCCCGCCGACCAGCAAGTAGACGCAGCGCGACCGCCATCGGCGGCCAGCTCCACCATCAAACGGAAGCGCGCTACCCCACTACGAGACCACCGTTCAGATTTTGAAGGCGTCGAGCCCTTGCTGCAAAAGGGGGCCGGGGAATGTCGCGATGACTTTTTGGAATGGCGCGGCCAGCGGCGCGGGTCGCGGACCACGCGCCGCGATAAGAATCGCGACGTGCCGAGCGCCTCCTCGCCTTCGGTGGCAGGAAGCCCAGGGGGCCGCCGGCGCCGCTTATCCGGAGCAGCGACGACGGTCTCCCGCTGACGAGCAAGGCGGAGATAGCCGACCACGCCTTCGCCTACCGCGGGAATATCGAGCGTGGCACCGTGACCGTGGCCGACGGTGTCGCGCAGGACTGCAACGCCCGCGCCAACGCAGTTCGACCAGCACCAACTACCCAGGACGTCATGCCACGACGCCAGCTTGCGACACAGCTGGCAGCAGCTAGGCGCGGCAGACGAGGAAGTCCCGAACATCTCACCGACGACATGTCCAAGGCCGACCCCGAGGGGATGGTTTTTTTTTCTTGTCTCGGTGAAGACGCAGCTCGAGAATGCGGATTCCATTGCAGCCAGAGGCTGCTACTAAACCCACTTCGACAAATGTCTGGGGCCGCTGGGGCAGCAGAAGTCGCACCGAGGCATCTGGCTGAACAACGCCGTGGGCAAGATGCACAGCTGCTTCCTACGTGCACGCGAGAAAGAGTTGCTTCCCGACTTGCCCCAGTCGACGCAGCGCGGTGCTCGACCCGAGATGGCCGCTGGCTTAATCGCCCACGCGACCTTGGCTCTCGTCGGCGACTGCCTTCGACGAGCGAGATTGCGCAGCGTAGCGTTTCTGGACCTACGCGAAGCCATCCTTTCCGTCACCCGCCGATGAGCTCAACGATCTCATCGCAATAATTTACATTCCCGGCTTTCTCAAGCCCATCTTGGCCGATTGGCTCCAGCAGCCAGCCGTGCAATGACAGGCGCATTGACGGCGCGCGCCTGTGCCCCGTCATCGCCGACCATTATGCCACCAGTTGGGTGGCGGCAACAAATTCGACTCCCTACCAATTCCCGCGGGCAAGCGCCAGGCCTGGGGCGCCGTGCCCCGACGCGGCTTTCCACGCGCGCGTCGCCATCGTGCTGCGCGCGATCGACCAAGCAGCGGCGCAAGCGATGGCCAACAACAGCCTCCAGTAGGCCGCGGCGTCGACGCCCGCGGCGCGCCGCCCCTCTCGGCTATGCCGCGCGAGGGCGCCGCGCTCAGGAACGCGTCTTTCGTCGGCGACCTTGCCGACTGCAACTCGGCGCAAGCTGCCGGCGGCCTCCTCGAGGTCACCCGACTTTCGGCCACCAGGTTGTGCGCCGCAGCCTACCAGCGCGGATTCAAGCCGCGCGCCGGCCGTGCCAAGGCCATCCCCATGATCTACAGCAGCGGCAAATGCATGAGCGATGCCATTCGAGAAATATTTCGTCCGCCGCAAGAAGCTCTCGCGGAAGGCCGAGCCGAATTGCGCCCGCGCGCCCTCGACCTCGTCGCTGACGTGCAATCGTCTGGAACGGCCTCGCCAAGAAGGGCCGCGACCACTTCGCCTCCCGCGTCGCGGCCTCGCTGCCCAAGACCATGCGCTGACGGGGCGCGCCCTGCTCAAGGGGGCCGGTGCGAAGACTGGAGTTCCCGACTTCAACGCGCGCCAGTCGGCTGCGCGACTGCGCTACCTACCGTGTCTGCGCCAGGGCGGACCTGCAGCCTTGCCCCGTCTAGTCGACGGCCAGCGGCAACGTAAGGGCGCCGGGAGCTACAAGCTGAAGCAGAACGTCGTCTTCTTCCGCTCGCGCGCGCCTTGACAGGTGGCCCGATAAGCGCGGGCAGGATGGCGACATCAATGCGCGGGCACGGAGACGACCCGAGGAGTTCACTAACACCGTCGAAGTTGCGACCGAGGCCTGCATTTGCCGCGCCCGCGACCAGGCCCAGCGCGAGAAGCTCGCCGAGGACCTCGAGATGCACCCGGCCTTTCCGATCGCAGCGGCTGGCGAGGCCATCCCTCATAACTGCGTCTGCCACGCATGCGGGCGGACCACTGGGGCGAGGCAGGGCGCGGAAGTGCACGTGGGCAGGGGCCGCAAAGATCTCGCGCGCCCGCGGCCGTGGGAAATGGGCGCGGCCTGTCGAGGCTGCCAGATGGAATTCCAAAGCTTCCCGCCATTCGCGAAGCACTTGAACTCGGCGCACCGCTGCCGCGAATGCCGGCGCGTCTGGCGCTGCATGGCGCGGGGGTCCTTGACCGAGCAGCAGGTCGCCGGCGACCTTGCGGCCGTCGCTACGGCCGCAGCGGCCAACAAAAAGCAAGGGCGGCCAACCCACAGCGAAGTCCCCGCCTACAAGACGGACGTCACGCCACTACCGATGCTGGACACCTCACCCGTCGCGCCGGAGGTCTACGCTACCACGCAGGCCGAGAGCCCGCGGCCTACCACGACGCCGCAGCCCGACGCAGCAGGCCAACCGGCAATTGCATTTCTCACTGACCGACCCAGCGCGCCAGGCGACCTCCAGCAGACGATGGCCAACGCCACGATCACATCCATGAGCGCAATGGACTACATCACGATCGACACCAGCACCTTCGGGGAAGCAACGGCATCGCGCGACGGTTTGGGCCAGGTTTGCACCGAGCTACAGCACGGCACTCTTGCAGCGGTGTATACCGAGATTCCGAGACGCCCCTGGTACGACTACGATCCGATAGAGAGTGCAGCATACCATGCTATGAAGAACCGTGTTTGTGATGCACCCTGGGGAAGAGCCGACATCTCTTGGAATATCGCTAACAGGCTCCACAGCGCTAGTACTGTGACCAGGGAAGTGCTCGCTACAATACACGCCGCAGCCGACATGATGATTTCGTTTGGTGCCATCCGCATACTACCGTCGGACCATCATGTCGAAGGATTGCTGGGAGCTCCCCGAGACGCAGCACATCGTTCAGCACCCGTCCTTGGCCAGCAGCATAGCCACGCATTACCAGTTAGAAACGGTCGGGATCATTGCGAACGCGATCTTCTCTGTCGAGGAGCCACCTATGAAGGAGTCGAGCGCCGACGACATTGATGCAATTACCGCCGCAGTGCTCGACATTATGATCATCGCCAGGTGGGGATTCAAAGGGTCTAGATCCGCCCCAGACGCCGATATGGCCGCTACTTGTGACGCTTACGACGTGATCCGAGAAACCGCCTCGCCGACAGCCTGGACCCCAGAGCGGGCAAGGAGGAGCGTTGTGTTTCTCGACGGGAAGCCCGCACCCCTCGCCCCCGCGCGTCATGCGGGAGAGTGCTGTGCCAGCCTACCTCCCAGCGCCGAGACCTCTAGAGAAGGTCAGCGGGCTTCCGCGGCCGCCCAATCGCAGAGAAGAGAAGGGCCGGGGGCCGCCTGGCCGCCCAGTCGCAAAGAAGAGCAAGTCTGGGGGCCATGCGGCCGCCCAGCCGCAAAGACGTGGAGAAGAACTCGTTCGGCACCAACAAGGACGTGATCAGGTGAGCGCGGCCACGGCCGGATTCGACCGCGGGGCCGATATTGAAAGCGGAGGGAGGAGGAGGGAGGAGGAGGAGGAGGAGGAGGAGGGAGGAGGAGGAGGAGGAGAGGAGGAGGAGGAGGAGGAGGAGGAGGAGGAGGAGGAGGAGGAGGAGGAGGAGGAGGAGTTGCTGAGCCGTCTGTCTCCTCGGGGGCGGGCTGGCGCTGGGTCTGGGGCCGGAATCGGGGCCTGGCCCAGGGCAGGGGCTAGGGGGCCCGGGCCGTGGCTGGGGCATGGGCCGGGGCTGGGGCTCTGGCCGGGGCTGGGGCCCGGTGCCCAGGGCGGTGCCGACGTTGGGGCGTGAACCTGGGCTGGGGCTGGGGCCAGGGCCAGGGCTGGAGCGGAGGCCGAGGCGGGAGGAGGGGCTCGGTGACCACATGTGAACCCTACCCCCGCCCCCGATGGTTTTTCAGGGGTGGGTGGGGGTTCACTTCGTTCGGTAGCTCCGGGAGTGAGCCCCCGCCCCCCCTTCGAATTCATGGGGGATGGGGGGTCGGGTTCACAATTTGGCCACCCAGGGGTCTTGAGCTCCCCTGCCGACAGGGATACCACCCCGTTGTTTTCCTTGTTTACAGTTGGGACCGCATGGGGTGGAGATCACAGACCCCTCCGGTTACCCTCCCCTGGGACCCTGGGACCCTTCCCCCACCTTCCCGTGGACCACCCTCTGAGTCCCCAGGACCCCCTCCCGGCGGGGAAGGGACAAAGGGAAAGGGCTTCCCTTCAACGTAAGTACGACACTGTTCGATCTCCAGATTCAGGAAGTTAGCGTAACTACTTCAATTTGGGTTGTTCGCCTCGACGAGGCTGGGTTGAACCATTTCTTGCCCAGGTCTTGAGCCATCTTGGGGCTCTAGAGCTTTCTGGATTTGCTCTGCAGCGGAGAATCCCCGCAAACAAAATCACACATCCTTTTCAGAGTCTTGAAATTTTAGGGCCTCCTGGGCGTCGTTTGGCTCCCTGGGGCTGGTTTTCAGGTATCTCGTGTAGAGGTCAAAAAGGGCGCCAGGAAGCACAGATTCGGTGTGGGAGTGGGTGGGTCGCAGGCTGCAAAACCCAAGACCTTCTTAGGACAGTCCTAAGTGTTCTCAGACTCCAACATCGTACAATCACGGTAGCCGATCTGTAAACCATTGCTGTTGCAAGTGGTTGCCTGCCCATGTCTGGGGCTGGAAGCCTCATCTTCAGGAATTATCGCAGTCGTGATCGCGTGTGTAGCGGCGCGACAGACGATCATGATGTGGGGAACTCACAGATGGGAGCAAACATTGCTTTCTCGTTGCAGGCTTCGCTCTACGATTTCCTGAAAAAGAACAGCTTCAAAGGATTCTGGATGCAGGCCCGTGCAGCGCCACACCGAATTCAGCCTTCCCTAGACATTCTGCTGAGATAGGGAAGTCATTGCATCGGCATCGTGCGCGCTTCCACTCTCACCGTTCATGTATGCTTTCACGATAACGCGAGGCCGGCCGCCTAACAACAACCATGCTGGTCACCGTCGCAAGCCTTGCTGTAGGTCTTCCTTGTCATGATGGTGTGTGTGTGTGTGTGCTTGCCTCCCTTGCCATGGTCTACATCGACGTTAACTGGAGCGTTGTTGGAGCATGTATCTTCAATGGAGTCCAGATCCGTCGACGGCAAGCCGACACACTGTTCTAACAGTCGTTATCCTCAGTGTCAGATCGTCATCGACTTGGCGGTTGCGAGCCATCGCGACGATCCATGTATGCACGGCTGTCTGCGGCTCTGCCATTGCAGGTCATTTCCGTCCCCTTTCAGGTTTTTCGGCATGCCAGCCTCCGCAATAGTTGCTCGCCGTGAACCTTGCTTGTCCCTTTCTTCCGCGTGCCAATAGTACCTCCCTGAGATGAAGCATATGAAAGTGTGGATGGGTGCGTTTGGAGATCGCAACACGCTGCAGTCTGGGATGGCAGCCACTGGCTGGAGCCGAGGGGAGCCCGGGTGTGGAGGAGAAGGGTCCGGGCCAGGCATGGAGTTGTAGCCGGTCGGGAAGTGGAGCGGGGCAGGACACCGCGAGCTGCGTAGAGGCTGCTTGGCCGTCCTGAGCCCGCCTTGCCGCGACCTCGTGGAGGGTGGATCTGATCGTGGGCCCCTCGTGGTGTGTGCGGTCGGCGACTACCTGGCGCGGCCCCCTCGTATTGATATGGTCTCTGACGAACGTTCCGCCATGCGGCCAGCCTCGTCTCGCCGCGCTGACGCTGCGGCGACCCCGGCGCGGGCGTCCAAGAAACGAACGTCGGCACTGGCCCGATTTGGTGATGTAGGGCGATCTGCGCTGTCAGAAACCAGAGCCCACGTCATCGCGACGTGAGCCCTCTGTCCGTTCACTCCCCTCTTCCCGAGGGGCTCGAGCCTCAGGATCACCACGCCGAGTCCCCGGGGCCAGGCCCAGACTCGCTGGGCCTCTGGTCAGGTCTCCCGCGGGCTGCATGCGGCCCGTTGCACTCGGACCCTGCCTGTGCGTACTCGAGGTGGTGCACATCCACCGAGCTTGCGTCACCGCGGCGTGGGCATGCTCTACACGACCTCCCTCCTGACGGGATCACCTCGCCGAGTCCAGGGAAGCTGGGCCTCCGTTCGAGTTTCCCGCTGGCTGCCTGCGGCCCGGTGAACTGGGACCCTCATTACGCTTATTGGAATGGATGCGTATCCACCGCCGCAGACACCGAGTTTTCCAGGCTGTGGATGCGTATGCATTCCGTCCTCGGACTTCCGATGCCGACGATGCCGCGACGACGACAACATCGGTGGTGACGGGATGGGGAGTCAGATCTTGACGACGGTATCATGACGACAATGGCGAGCACGGCGACGAAGACGAGCATTGGGGTGACCCGCTCTAGCGATGACGACGACGACCAGTTAGATGAAGACGACTGCATGCTTAGGAGGAGGGGAGGGGGAGATGAGGAAGAAGACGACGACGAACACGCGCATCAGGGAAATAATTGCGGCGAAGGTGGCGGCGAAGACTGCGATCTGATGCGCGTTCACGTTAGCTCGTTGCGTGATGTCCGACCCCGAGCCAAATCTCCAGGTCGGTTTTGGAGGTCGCCGCGGCTATCGCGGCGGCCACATGTCAGGGCACGGCTTTCCTGCCCATCCCCAGCTTTCCCACTGCTCTACGGTGTTGGCGTGGCTCATACTTAACCATCTAGCGACAGATAGATGCAAGATCATGTCCAGCATGGGCAATCACGTTGTTTTGGTTGGGGGCCGATTATCACGCAGCCAGTGAGCAGCAGGGCCTTCACGACGCCGCTCGGCCCCCTGGACCAGGGGGACCCCGTGGTCTTCCGATCCAAGCTCGGGGACGCGTAAGACTCGAGTGCGCCGGAACTCGGCTTCGCCCACGCTTTTTGGCGAGCCCGTTCTGGATTTTGACGTTCCAGTTTTCGTGGGATGTCTGCAGCGGGAGCCCGCATCAAATCTCAGGCTGGGTCGCGTCATTTTCATGATGGCCCCGTCGGGCCAACCCGAGTCCCCCTGACCCGAGTCTCGTGTCTCCCCGACAAGTTACCAGTTTGACACATATCCCTATCCCTATGTTTGGCATCACCTTACCTCGATGCCGAGCTTAAGGAGTTCCCAAGTTTCTGAGGGCACATCCCTGAGATCGTCATCGCTTTTTGCTTTCCGATCTTAGGAACAGGGATCAGTTCGAGTCTATTCGACAAGCCGCAGTCGCTCGTCGGAGCGGACTGTTCAGCCGCTGTCGCCGAGTGTCTGGGTGCGCCCCCGCCGCGTGGCCTCGTCGCCTCTGCAGCGGCCGCGCTGGTCTGGTTCCTGTGGTGGCGCTGTTCTCGGCTCCCAACGAGGCCGGCCAGGGCCCCCGAGCAGTCCGAGGTACGCAGGCGCAGGAGAGCGGTTTTGTGCGGGGCGGGAGGTCGGGGGAGTGGTGGGCGGAAGGGGGTGGGGGTGGAATGAGGAGGACGGGGGAGGAGGAGGACGGGGGGGGATGGCGGGAGGGATGGAGAAGGAACGGAAGGAACGGAAGGAAAGTCGGAGGATAAAAAGGTACCAATACCGCTACCCTTCCCTCGTTTTCCCTGTTTGGGCCTCCTGGGAGGCCCTTGCCGCCACCGCTGGTTCTGGTCAGAGCGCGCCCCGGGAGAGGGCCGGGGAGTAGCGGTATCGATACCGTTTTGTCTCCCCAGGAAGGGGGGCAGTGCGGGCGGGGGAGGCATGGTCGGCTCTCGGGAGTGGTGAGGGTGAGGATGCGGCATGGAGGCAGAAGAGTGAGGGTGGGCGGAGTGCGGGGGGGAGGGGGAGAGGGCGGGAGGACTGGGGAGCTCAGGAGTGGAGGCCGAGGTGGTTGATCCAACATGAGGGAGTTCGCCGGGACCTCTTCATCCCCTCCCGCTGGCCGTCTGTCTCGCCCTGGCCTCGGTACCACCCTGCACTGCCGCCCCCCCAGGCCCCCCTCGCTTTCTCTTTTTCTCTCCCTTCGCCTTCATGCCTGCCCCTTCGTACCCCCCACCCCTCCCCCTCCCCCCCCTTCCCCCCCCCGTCCTCTCGCCCCTCCCCCCTCTCCTCGTCTCTCCGCCGCGCGGTGCCCCTCCCCTCTGCCCCCCCCCCTGCTTCTCGCCTTCCCTTTTCCACCCCCCCTGCCCATGCCCTCGGCGTTCCCTTTTCTCCGCCCCTGCTCTTCCGCTCCCCGCCCCCGCACTGCAGTCAGTCAACCCTCCCTTCCGCTCTCCCGCGCTCGCTTCCGTCCCTTCCTCCCGCTCCTCGTCCTGCCTCGGAGGCCAGACCTGTGGCGGAGCGGGCTGCGGCACGACGCGGAGGGCCGCCGAGGGGGCGAAACTGCAGGGCGTGATTGCGGAGAGCGCCACGGAGGATGGCAAGCCCGTAATCGCGCAAGGCGTGGACGAGGCTCACAAGACGGTGTTCTGGCGAAGCTGCAGTTTGGTCGGGGAGACAGAGCCTCGAGTGAGCGGGATCTCGTGTTTGCCGGCGTTTTTATAACGAGCGCCTCCTGGATTTTGAAAGTTCTCGTGGGATGTTTGCAGCGGGAGATCGCGTCAAATTTCAGATTGGGCCTCGTCATTCTCATGGATGGCCCCGTCGGGCCAAGTCCGAGTCCCCCGAACCCGAGTCTTACGTCCCCCCGATTTGGACAGCCAACGCCGAGGAGAGGATGAGGATCGGTGTGGACAGGTGCGGCGGTCCCGGTGGCACAGATATCCGTGAGAGCTTCGCGTTCTGCCGCCAGCCCCCCTCTCTGTCAGATCTGGCCAGATCAGAGCTACTCCGGATCTCGTAACAATGGGGGGGGGGTCTGCTTTTGGGGGGGGTCTAACGGGCTTCGTCAAACACAATTGTGGGGGGGTCTCGATTTTGGACCCTTTGTTGCCTGTCTGGGGTGGGTCTACTTGGGGGGGGGTCCCAGACCGGCCGTCAAACACTTTTTTGACCCCCCCTGTATTATGAGATTTTGAGTAGGTCGGGCTGTCTGAGTGCCGTCTCGGGGACATCTGGGAATCTCGTGCGAGGACAGTTGGCAATACCAGCGCATATTGAGATGCTGGAGTTGCTAGCGAATGTGCTGTTGGCTTTTTAGAGTGCTTCCCTCGTGTTGTGGATAGGAAGCCCTGTTGGAACGACGGAGAGCTGCTTGAGGCAAACTTGGCAAGCATCGCGCGGCTGGGACTGTCTTCGGGTTCCTGGCATCCTTCGCTATTTTCGTGGACTCGCGGCCGCGGGCCCAGCGCCGACTTTTCACGGCGGGGAAGCCGATACCCGCCCACCGACCCCCGAGCACATGCCCCAATGCAGAAGCCTACAGTTTTACACCCCTGAAGAGGGGAGCGGCACTTTGACGCAGCCTCCGTGGGATGGGTTCTCAGCCTCGGGAGCGCGAATGCGTCGGAATTTACCAGGGACGGTCGCCTCAGGGGCGCGAACCTGCTGTCATTTACAAGAGATTGCGGCCTCCGAAAGAGCGTGTTCTGTGGGCGCTTGAAGGGGAGGGGGGGGTGAAACCATACCCTCCCCCCTCCCCTGAAGGGTGGGGGGGGGTTCGACCCCTCCCCCGCTGGCGTCGGCGGCGGCGGGGAGCGTCGACGAGGACGACGGCGACAGTGATGACGACGACGACGACGCTCCGCCACCGTGCCTTGGTTTTGGATCAGAGTCCTAATGGATGCCTCTTGGGTCTCGTCGGAGGGCTCTAGGGGGCCTCTGAAGGGCATTAGTGAAGCATCCTGGGCGCTTCTTGGACGTCTCTTGGGGCCTCTTCGAGATGGTGGTGGTGGTGGTGGTGGTGGACTGTGGTGGTGTGGTGGGTTGTGGGTGGTGGTGGTGATGGTGGTGGTGGTGGTTGTGGTGGTGGTGTGGTGGTTTGTGGTGGTGGTGGTGGTGGTGGTGGTGGTGGGTTGTGGTGGTGGTGATGGTGATGGTGGTGGTAGTGGTGTGGTGGTTTGTGGTGGTGATGGTGGTCGTGGTTGTTGTGGTCGGTTGTGGTGGGTTGTGGTGGGTTGTGGTGGGTTGTGGTGGGTTGTGGTGGTGGTGGTGTTTTTAGTGGCGGTGGTGGTGAAGTGGTTTGTTGTGATGGTGGTGGTGGTGGTGGTGGTGGGTTGTGCTGGTTGTGATGGTGGTGGTGGTGCTGATGGCGGTGGTGGTGGTGGTGGTGGTGTGATGGTTTGTGGTGGTGATGGTGCTGGTGGTGGGTTGTGGTGGTGGTGGTGGCGGTGGTGGTGGTGGTTGTGGTGTGGTGGTGGTGGTGGGTGGTGGTGGTGGTGGTGTGGTGGGGTGGAGGTGGTGCTGGTGGTGTCGGTAGCGGAGGTGGTGGTGGTTGTGGTGTGGTGGTTTGTGGTGGTGGTGGTGGTGGTGGTGGTGGTGTTGGTAGGTTGTTTTGGTGGTGAGGTGGTGTTTGTGGCGGTGGTGGCGGTGGTAGTGGTGATGGGTTGTTGTGGGTGGTGGTGGTGGTGGTGGTGGTGGTGGTAGTGGTGGTGCGTTGTCGTGGGTGTGGTGGTGGTGCTGGTGGGTTGTTGTTGTGGTGGTGGCGGTGGTGGCTGTGGTGGTGGTGGTGGTGGTGGTTGCGTGGTGGTTTGTGGTGGTGGTGGTGGTGAGTTGTTGTGGTGGTGGTGGTAGCGGTAGTGGCGGTGGTGGTGGTGTTTGTAGTGGTTCGTGGTGCTGGTGGTGGTGGGCTGTGGTGTTGATGGTGGTGGTGGTGCTGCTGCTGGTGGTGGTGCTGGTGGTGGTGGTGTGTGGATTGTGGTGGAGATGGTGGTGGTGGTGGTTTGGTGGTTTGTGGTGGTGGTGGTGGTGGTGGTAAGTTGTGGTGGTGGTTTGTGGCGGTGGTGGTGATGGTCGTGGTAATGGTGGTGGGAATGGTGTGGTGGTTTGTGTTGGTGGTGGTGGTGGTGGTCGTGGTGGTTGTGGTGGGTTGTGGTGGGTTGTGATTGTGGTGGCGTTTTTGTTGTTTTTGAACATTATTAATTCTAAAGAATAATTATTGTTGGGACCCCTGGTGCACGGCCCCCCTGCGCCGCCTAGGCCGCAGCTACATTTTCATCATTTTCGTGAGGAAGCCTCAGGTAATACGATGTCATCAAGATCCGGTTGTTTTGTTGTAATCCGTTTTCCCTTGCAAAAAACACTATAAAATGACATTTCTTGTTCTAATATAATCAAATTTCAAGAATCCCTTGCAAAAAATAAGGTAAAGTGGACATTCGCGCGCGCAAGACGAAATCCTTCCAAAAGCTTAGTGTTCGGAGCGATTTTAACATAAAAACATCAAAAAACCAATGGTTTTTCAACAAAAAAATGTCAAAATCTCATCCCGCGCGCTCTTGCGGATTCGTAGGAAACCCAACACTTTTTAAACATTTCTGTCAAACGGGCTTTTGCGAGCAACTTTTTCGAACTTCTGCGACAACGGTTGCGCACCTGCCAGGGCCATCATCCCTGTCAAATAATACCATGCGGGACACATTCGTTTTTTCTTCGCGCGCGCACGCCGAAATCTGCAAAAACCATTGGGTTCTTAAGAATTTTAGCACCGCGCATCATAAAATCACACGAATCGCACCGTAGGTCCTCGAAAAACACCTGCACGACTTTTCAAAATTTCTACCCGCGCGCGCTGTCCGAATCCTAAAAAAACCAATGGTTTTCCAACATTTATGTTACATGAGCTCGCGCGAGCTACTTTCGCACGCTCTTGCAACGGGGTTCGCGCGCCTGCCAGGGGCCACAATCCGCCAGTGTAGTAGCCACGCGCCAGTGTAGTAGCCACGGTCGTCCGCAGGCCACGAAGTGAAGTGTCCGAACGTCATAGGGCGGGAAGCTGGGTGTGGGTGGTGGCGAAGAGTCGTTTGGAAATTGGTAGAGCTTGAACCGGCCCCCCCACAAAGTGGGGGTATTGCCCGCCTCCTATGAAAACCCTGGCACTGGTGAGAACGGAGTGTCCCCACGTGCTAGTAATTGTTGTTGTTGTTGTTGAATATTATTACTTCTAAAGAAATATTATTGTTGAGACCCCTGGTGCGCGACCCCCCTCCAAAACCTAGGCCGCAGCCTCATTTCCTTCATTTTCTAGCGAAAGCTTCAGAAAAGTGGATTGTCACCGGATCCGGTTGTTTTGTTGTAATCCGTTTTCCCTTGCAAAAAACACTATAAAATGAAAATTCTTGTTCTTACTTGATCAAATTGCAAGAATCCCTTGCAAAAAATAAGGTAAAGTGGACATTCGTGCGCGCAAGACGAAATCCTTCCAAAACCTTAGGTTTCGTAGCGATTTTAACATAAAAACATCAAAAACCCAATGGTTTTTTAAGAAAAAATTGTCAAAATGTCCTTCCGCGCGCGCTGTCCGAATCCCACAAAACCAATGGTTTTTCAACATTTATGTTACATGAGCTCGCGCGAGCTACTTTTTCTTGTTCTAACATAATCAAATTTCAATAATCCCTTGCAAAAAATAAGGTAAAGTGGACATTCGCGCGCGCAAGACGAAATCCTTCCAGAACCTTAGGTTTCGTAACGATTTCAACATAAAAACATCAAAAATCCCAATGGTTTTTCAAAAAAAAATGTCCAAATTTCATCCCGCGCGCGCTGTCCGACTCCCACAAAACCAATGGTTTTTCAACATTTATGTTACATGAGCTCGCGCGAGCTACTTTTTCTTGTTCTAACATAATCAAATTTCAATACTCCCTTGCAAAAAAAAGTAAAGTGGACATTCGCGCGCGCAAGACCAACAAAAAACACGACGATCTCAGGAACTTGCCCCAAAAATGTGACCAACTCCGCTCTCTCTGTCTCTCTCTCTGTCTGCTCTCTGTCTCTCTCTCTGTCTGTCTGTGTCATGTATTGTATGTCACAATTGCAGGATGCTGGGCACACGCGCGCCCCGAATAAGTGACCAAGTTCTGTGGGTGTGTACCCCACGCCAGTGTAGTAGCCACGGTCGTCCGCACGCCACGAAGTGAAGTGTCCCAACGTCATAGGGCGGGAAGCTGGGTTTGGGTGGTCGCGAAGAGTCGTTTGGATATTTGGTAGAGCTTGAACTGCCCCCCCACGAAGTGGGGGTATTGTCTCGCGTCGCATGAAAACCCTGGCACTGGTGAGAACACTGAGCGTTCGGGTAAAATGATTGTTGTTGTTGTTGTTGTTGGTGGTGGTGGTGGTGGTGGTGGTGGTGGTGGGCTGTGGTGGTGGTGGGTTGTGCTGGTTGTGGTGGTGGTGGTGGCGGTGGTGGTGGTGGTGTGGTGGTTTGTGGTGGTGGTGGTGGTGAGGCCTTCGGGTCTTCCCGCCACCGTGTTTTGGCTTTGGGTCAGGTGGTGATGGTGGTGGTGGGCTGTGGTGGTGGTGGTGGTGGTTGTGGCGGTGGTGGTGGTGGTGGTGTGGTGGTTGGTGGTGGTGGTGGTTTTTGTGGTGGTGTATATGGCGATGTGTGATTCCCCACTGCGGCCTTTGGGCTCTTTCTGGTGATCGTCGCTGCGTTCCCGCCGTTGGTGCTGCTGGCCGCCGCCAGCGTCGGCGTCGACGCCAGCGCCGAGAGGGGGGGTTGGAACCTCCCCCCCCGGGGCCCTCTCTGGTCATCGTCGCTGCGTCTGCCGTCGGCGCTGCTGGCCGCCGCCAGCGCCAGCGCTGGCGCCAGGGGAAAAGGGGGGGGGGTTCGGGAGGGGGG